TATATTTGAAATTTTCTCTCTCTCTCTCTCTTTTTTAAGGGAAAATTTTTTTTACTTTTTTTGTCAGGTAGGAAATGAAAAAAAGATTCGTTAGGTTTCAGGGACGGCCGTGGTTTAGTAAAAAAAAAAACCTTAATAAATAAATTAATAAACCTTAAAATAATAAAACCTTAAGGTCGTAAAATTGTTTGTTACCTTTTACCCGGTATTATTATTATTATTATTATTATTATTATTATTTCCAACTCTCTTCCTTTCACTTAAAAAAAAAAAAAATTTAAATATTAATAATAATAATAATTTAAATCTATCGTTTGGTCTGAAAAGAAATTTAAATTTGATTTTCTTGTAATTGACGAAAAAAAAAAATTATTTAAGGTCGTACCTGTTTTTTTTTTTTTTTGTAGCAAAATTAATTTGCGCAAATGGTACATAAATTTATATAAAAAAAAAATTAACGGTTTAATATTAATTGAACGATGGAAAATTTATTATTATTATTATTATTATTACGTAAAATATTACGTCGATAAATCTATACGTATGTAAAACGTTTATTTTCTCACGTATTACGAATACGTTAATTTTTTTTTGTCTCGTGTACCTTGATACCTTATCAAGGAAAAAACAAAAAAATAAAATAAAATAAAATAAATTTCATCAAATTTTATTAAAATTATTTTTTTTCTCTTTTTTTTTTCTTTTTCTTTTTTCTATCTGTTAAATCTTTCTTCGTTAAATTTATTCTTACAATTATTATTATTATTATTATTATTATTATTATTATTATTATTTGTAATTAATTAACTAATCCAACCTTGCTCTTGGCAAAGGAATTTTCACTTTAGTTAAAAAAAAAAAAAAAAACTAACCAAACTTCTTATATAATAAAATAAAAAAAATAAAAAAAAACAAATTATAATATCTAGAATTTTTACATTTTTCCCTTTTTTTTTTTTTTACAAACTGACACCTTTTAAGGGGGGGGGGGAGTAAAAAAAGAAAAACAAAAAAGAAAAAAAATTTTACAAATGGCGACTGTAAAAATTTCATTTAAGTTTGCATATAAACATTTTTTTTAAAAAAATAATAT